TTCGGCATCTTGTGCTTACTTCCTTGCGTACGGATGACAGCTGCGTGTGACTTTTTTTATTTTCTGGTTCTTCACTTTTCCAGAGGCAGTTGTAAGCATGGTGTAACTGCCTCGAGGGTGCTTGACCATGTTAACACAACGTGGTGCGATCATCCCCCATGCGCGGAGTGAGGGTCCTCCACCCCGCACAACATGACCCACTCGACCACGATTATGGTTACCGCCATAAAAAAAACAGAGGTAAAAAAATAAAAACGGTAACTTGGTTGCCGAGGCCACGAAGTGAATTGGCTTGTTTTACAACGTCGTTGCCAAGCGACGAAAACGTAAGCCCGACGGCAAACACCGGGGCGGAGAGGGGGGCGTACTCTTATGTTTTGCATGCCTTAGTGGTTAGACCATTGACCACGCGTCCTCGAGAGGACGGAGCATTGTTCCCACAGGACCGATCACCGATGACCAATTGTTCCTCCCTACTTTGCCAAAGGTGGGCTCAAATATGTCTTCCCTAGTCTGCCTATCCTAACGATATCTCTTCCCGCCTTTTCAAACTACCTCCTTTGCCCCAGTACAGCTACCGTCCTTTCCTCTCTATTCCATGCCTCAAACATCTCCCTATACGGCCTATCTATTTTTCCCAGCTCAGTCACGTACACTTCCCTCTCCTTCTTGTACAACGGACATTCCGCGACTACATGAACACGGTCTTCGCATTCGAAGCCGCAATCACATTTGAACTCGTCGTCTTCCTCGTCTACCGTCCTATGTCTTCGTCGACGTTCTCGAAGGCCTATGTCCCCGGTCCTGAATTTGACCTTAAGCTTTGTTCCTGCATCCATTGGTCCATGTAGGTAGTCCTTGAACCCTATTCCTTCCTTCAACATTCCGTACACTTTTAGACCCTCCTTATCCTTGGATTCTTTCCATAAATTCTGTTCTTCTCTCTCGGCACAAGCAACAGATATCTTCTCCTTGAACCCCTGTAGACCCTCCGTTTCCAGCGTTTCATCTTCGTCGATGTCGAGCCCCTTCCATACGTCCTCTACAACCTTGACCCATTCCGTGGGTTGTCTACCCCTCTTTTTGTTTGCCCACTTCGCCTCCCATACAATTCTCAGCAACCTCTCCTCTCCCATCCCGCACATGCGGTACTGCCATGTCAACTTTCTCGCGTCTCTTCCCGACCGTAGGGATTGGATCCCCAATTCTGCCCTCACGGCTGCATTACTTGTGCGCCTGGAGCATCCTAGGATGGTTTTCGCTGCTTTCATCTGCGCCGCCTCGAGTTCTTTCACTACCTTCTTATTTCCTTTCCATACCTCTCCGGCGTACTCTAGCGGCTGGGGGGAGGGAGGGGGGGTGTACTTCAATTTGATGCGTGTATCGAGGTGCCGGTTTGCGAGTATTGG